GGGGGGGGGGGGGGGGATCGACGCAACGTGCAATTTCGAGTCACCGTTAATTTTCGAAAATTCATCATTTCTTATTTGATCCGTACGATATCTCGGAGATCGCAATCTACTTGGCACGGTAAATATTGACACCCGGTATATCCAATAAATCTATGGATCCATCAACGTACGTTTAACGTACGACCTTCGTTAATGGTCCGAGCCGTAAGTGCAGGATTGGTGAAATGGAAATTTAGACAAGTGATTTAGTTGCCGATCCGGACGATTGAGGCGCGGTGGTCGCCGTAGCCGCGAACAGAGCGCAGTTGTTCGCGAGGCAGCAGGGAGGAAACAGAAAGTTAACTGCGACGAGCGCCGAGGGAGCCGGTTGACGAATGTCTTGGCGGCCGAGCGGTGAAAAGGCACTGCTGCCAATTAGAGGGAGTCCAAATTTATAAGGAATCCGATAGTTTTTCGTCATACGCGAGACACGGGGGACCAAAGGCTCTTTCCGGTTTTCCCAACAGCGATTAACGAGTATGCATTTTAATAGGTAAAATTACATTGGGAATAATACGAGGTATCGCGTATGGTGAAATAAGCTATAGTTTGCGCGAGGAAAAATACAGCGACGGTTTCCGCTTTATTTGACTACGGTGAAAAGTATCGTTTACCCGTAGCCCAAAATACTCGTAGGTACGGTAGGGAGGATCTTTAATGGAGCTAAAAGCGAATATCGGCGACTGTCAAGGTACGAGGATCCGCTTCCTGTCTCTTTTAACAGTTGCGCAATTCCGACAATGGCCGAGGAAGGATAGGACGGGAGAAGAGAAAAAGTGAAGGATCGACGAGCCGGTCCCAAAATGTAACGGATAGTCTTTGGGTCCCTTAGGCTCATTGTCGACGTAGAACGACGACAAAGGCCCCTGTCATTACGCGAAAAAAGCCATAGACGGCGACGCCGAGCGTCGGCCCGAAAGGTAGCTTCGGCTCTCTTTGCCGATATATCAGGTTGCCATTGTCCCAGTTATTGTCATTCTCGATTGGGGCCCACTGGGTAGGTACCGTAGCCCTAATTGTAGGTACTGTATCGGCAACGTAGTGGGACGTAAAAAAAAGCGCGGGCTTTTCAAAATAATCCCGATCAATCGCCGTACCGCGGGTATCGACGCTCGCTCCAGGAACTTCCGGTACTCGGACGGAAGTCGGGACACTTTAATACGGCTCCGCTGGACACTAAAATACAATCAGGCAAAAAGCCTCGAGGGTCTTCGGGTATTGGAGCACGGAGCCAGCGCGCCGTGCAGTTCCGGCGCATCCTGTGTCACACGCCGTTGAGCACGCTCCACCCTCGAGGATTCGTCTACTCGCGTCCGGCGCACGGAGGCTGCTCTAATTGTTGACACAACACTCTTTCGAGGGTGCATTGTTGCGCAATCTACTCGATAAATTAAACCTCCCGCCATCCGCCTTTCCTATGGGATCGACTCCTCCGCTTCCGTCTTGCAGAAATTCTTACTTCTAATGGCCGTATACGATACACTCACAAGATATATAATATACACAGACAAGATAGACACGTTTTCTTGGGTACTTACGTTGTGCAGCTTGTAGTAGAGTCCGCACGCGTTGCAAACTGGTTCCCCGGCTTGATTCCGTCGCCACAACGTCGTCGTGGCCGTCTTGCAATTCGCGCAGCTGGTGCCCGCCCGTCTTGCAGCACTCTGGAGGGACAGTTTTTGGAAAAAAAAAAAAGAAAGAGATATCACACCCGTAAAGCCAAGAGCACGCAGAGTAACGTATAGTGAAATTTATGAAAAAAAAAAAAATTTTGATAAATTTCCCAAAAAAAATTTTTTGCAAATCACGCGCGTGTCCAATTGGTCAAAAAAAATCTCCAAGATGAAAAAAGGCAGCCGAGTCAGACCTGACAGCGGATCCGCGAAGTTAGGTCCCTTGATCCTCGGTCCCAAGAGTGGTATGGAAGGCAGAGGGAGGCGCAAAGGTCCTTTTCTCTCCTTTGGCTCCTTTCAGGAGCCCGAGGACTGAAAATGGTTCTCACACCTGTGCCTCCTATCCCGGAGTGGCAAACACTTAACTAAAAAGGTCTATTATCCCTCTTCGGCTAACTATAGCTTATTTACCTTTTTATATACCCATGACGGACTATATAAGCCGTATTATGTACATTTCGCTTCTCCTATAGCTACACGCGTATATATGCATCATATATACCTATACACCTATTACACAAGCCCGCTCTCCTCATGGACCACTTAACCCCCAAGATGACACGGTATATTCAGAGCGCTCTGAAACATTCCGACAACAAAACTATACCTG